GAAGAAAGCTCCAAACATTTTCACAGACAACACTGATTGTCTATAGAGAGAAATGAGAACAGCCGATTGGAAGGATCTCTGTGCTAGTTGCTCGAACAATTTCGAATGCGTTGTTTCGACAGCACCTGTTCCTGTAAGTGGGGAAAGACTAAGGCGTGATCCACGATTACGAAGTACTCAAATCAATCCACTGTGAAGAACACGCTGACTCGAAACGTAAGCCGAGCAAAAAGTGGTATCAACCTCTTGAAAGCCGAAAATCGCCACGTGATAGGAAAGAAGTAAGAAACCTTCGGAAGAAAACCGACAAACCTGTTGAAAAAACTACAGTAAGACATATTATACCTTTATTTCGAGTGTTTTATTGAGACCACGCTCAAATTTCAATAGGTCCTTTCATTATTATTTGAGCCAACTTGTCATGTGGTCTGGTAAGTGCTTGTACAGCCCGATACACGTGTTTCGGCCTTACAGTCAAATAATAATGAAAGGTTCTATTGAGATTTGAGCGTGATCTAAACAAAACACTCGAAATAGAGGTATAATATGATAAAAAAAACCAGCCAAAGAGCAATCGAGTTTACAACATTCTGTGTTAGGTGAAAATTTCACTTGACTTAGAGTGTAAAACGTACGTCTTCGATAACTCTCTATAAGGAGTGTAAGGCTCCCGAGAGAACTGACTATAAAAAGATCGAAAGGCGACGGGTTCTGCCCGGCTGACGAGACTGTAAGGACGAAACACGTGTCTCGGGCTGTACAAGAGCCCTTACCAGACCACATGACATGTTGGCTCAAATAATAATGAAAGGATCTACAGTAAGACACATGCAATCCACCAAATCTGAAATGCTCACCAAGAGATTCAACGCACCGTCACATAATCGCCAAAACAGTCTCTAAAAAAACCAGTAGCTTCTCTTGTTGCCGCTGTTGATACACCAGTTATAGTACAGCTGATCGGAAAATACTCTGGAAATTCGGCGCAGAAATTTGGATTTTTACGAGAAGAGAGCGAGTGAATGGGCCACATACCTGGCGATAGAACATTTTGAACCATACACCGAGCACATACAAGATAACCAGGCAGTACTTTAGAACTGTGAAGCGACACAAACAGCTTCTAAAAGCAGCACTTATAGGACAAAAATAAATTTAGAAAATAAAAAAGCACTCACTTTATCCGCAAAGATTTCATTGACGTCAGTGAAGAACTGATTTGGCGATTTTATGTACGTTTTACTGTTCTCTGAAACGGCGAATTCTCATGGAGGTAAAACGAACAAATTGGTTGAAAATCCAAACTCTCTGAATACTAACAAAATGAGGCGTTTTTACACCAAAACACTTACTTTCCCAAAGCTCATCGATTATCTTTAGAAAATCTCGCGATGCCGTTTCTGGAGCCGGAGCCATACTTCTGCTGTCCTGGCCACGAAGGCACTCTGAAGACGACAAATCCATCAAATCTTAGCAATTTTAGAGAGATCAGAAATTTTGAAACCAAGCTTAACAATGACAAATTCGAACGCGCAAGGCAATCACAAAAGTTTCCCGCGTAAAAAAAAATCGACGAGAACTCGTCCAAGGCGGTGAGAAAGACCGTGGACGGAGGGAGAATAGTGGAGTTCGATTTGAAGAAGAACAGAATGCTCCGACATACGGAAGATACAATATGTAGTATCAATAAAGTTTTAGGAGAGTTGAGTGGCGAGCAAAAATTCGACCTCAGGCTGGGCTTGAAACCGCGTTTCATCATACCGGCGACGATAGTGTGAAACGCCGGTTCGACTCCCGTTTGGGTCGAATTTTTGCTCAGTACACAATGCTTCTGGGAGTACTCGAAATAGCATAACACTGCGAAAGAGCAGTAAAACATAAGAAATCTTGGAATACAATTATCTAGGAAATTTCCCATATGACACGAATTCAATGGGTTCGACTTCGACTAGCTGAGTTCTATCTCGAGCCGACCAGTGCCATGTTGAGGACAAAAGGTCATTCGTCTAAGCACTGCCAGCAGATAACTAGGATTCTTTTCTTGACTAAACAAACGCGAAGACAACTCAGAGCTTTGTGCTAGCTGAGAATGATAGCGAGTGCAAAGATTCGAGCTCAGACGGGAGTTGAACGCGGGTTTCACCCATATTGGGGGCGCGTGCTACCACTACACCACCGAGGTCACCGCTTTGCCACCACTCTTTCTCCGATTTATCCTATCGTAGCGATCAGCAACAAATCATCGACAGTTTAGTCGACACATATCACAACAGACCCAATTAAGCTAATAGCCATTTTGCGTGCCTAAGTCTTGAGATTTGTTTTGTTTTTACTGCTTCTCCGCGGGTTCAATTCCTGTCAGAGGTCAAATTTTTACTTATCACTCAATCCACTTAGGTTTATATCAGGAACATCATAAAACTCCCCAAAGGCAGTAGAAACAAAAGAAATCTTTAGTACAACAATCACCGCTGAAGGATGGGCTGCCCGGTGAGAACAAATGGGTTATCACTATCAACGGATAATCACTATCCATTATCAATCGTCCTGTATAAAAGGCTACGGTTGGGTGAAGTTCTTTATTTGAGCGGCTCTCCTTGGCTAACGACTCGACTCTACATCGGAACAGCTACGAAGGCGAAGACCTCATTGCGAAGCTACTCGACAAAGAACAGATCGCACGGACCATGGCCCGAGAAGAACTCGAAGAAGCCGAAACGTCTGCCGAACGGCTACGATAGCAACCTCGTGTACGCTCAATCAAGTAAGAGCTTATTGATTAATAATAATTAGATAAACCCAATGATGTAGAGTGGTGGGCAAAAACGTTTGTACAACGCGTTGTAGCGTAGAAAGAGTGGAGTTCAAAATGAGCGTCGGTGGTGCAACTGTTTAGCACATGCTCCCGGAAAGAGTAAGATCTGGGTTCAAATCCCGGCTGACGCAAACGTTTTTGCACACCACTCTACATCATTGGGTTAATAGAAACATCATAACACCGCAAGGCGGTCAAATAAAATGATTTCGGATCAATTAGATATTTAATCAATTGGTTGTTACAATGGCTGTCAGCTCAACTGGGTTTGTAAAGCCAAAACGTATACCCGACCAAACCTCTTGAAGATTGGGGGCTGATAGCTAACATAGAGATAGAGTTGAAGAATGAGTAGTGGCGCAATTATGCCTCGGCGGCGTAGTGGTAGTACCACGCGTTCCCGGTATGGATGCAGCGCGGATTCGATTCCCGACTGAAGCCGTGTGTTTGTTTACCACTCCATTCTCTTATGTATATACGTAACATAACAACAGTGCGAAAAATAGCATTAAAATACTAGAAATTTCAAGCTTTAATCAATCGATTAAACTCTAACCCAAAACAGGAACCATCGGAGAAATAAGGGCGCATGGACGCGATCTGAAGAAGGAAACAGGGCTTGCGCAAGGCAAGTTGGATAGGAACGATAAGAAAGTGGAGATCTTACGAAGGCCCTGCAGAAGCCAAAAGCGGAAGAAGAGCACCTTGTTGACGGTGTTCTACTTCGTCGCGACGGAGGGCAAGCGCTGAGCCTCGGAAGAGATCGCTTTTCTCCAGGAGGCCTTCCGACTTGTGAAATGAAAAACGTTTCGTTCGGCAAAGTCTCGGCAAACGAAGAACGCCCACATCAGAGCGATAAGAATGGTTTGATGAAGGAAAATGCGGCATCGAGGGAGCAGCTCGAAACGGCCACTAGACGATTGGCTTTCGCTCTAAGAATAACTTAATTAATTATTGGAAGAGGCAGTGGCCGAGGTTACTGAAGCAGCCTTATTTGACACACGAAGCACCTTCCAATGCCGCTCGATGGCACTCCTCCTACTTCGAGAGAAAGCTTTCCCAGACTTCGAAAAACCAACGAAAATTTCCTATTTCGTTATTCGAACGGCGCTCCATCGAAGAAGATTCGATTTGAAGTCAACGAAGGCTCAGATCCACAACCAGATCACGATTGTTAGCAATTCCGACTCGAATCATCAACTGTGAAGAAGACGAAGACACCGAAACATTGGCTGAATAAATAGTATTAAGCAATTTATTGTTGTGTGTTACACTGTAAAATAAACTATTATTGACCAGTGATATTGAGGTTGAAGAAATGTCGGAATTCCAAAGATGTTTGCGTCCAAAAGAAAGATGAAAACGAATGAGCACTGGAAAAAAAGTATAACCTTTAAACAGATGCTTTGTTAGGTTTCTATACAGTAGTCAATCATAAGTAGCAACATACTCTGAAAGAAATAGAAAAAAGAGAGAAAAGAGAAAGAGAAAAAGAGGAGAAAGAGAGAGAGAGGGGAAAGGGAAAAGAGGGAAAGCAGAGAAGAGAGAGAAAGGGAGTGAGTGAAGAGGAGAAGCGAGAACACTCCAGGCCATTTGCCCAAACGAGTCTTGATGTGATCGTGGCGTGATCAATCCTGTAAATACTTGTGGGACGTGCGAAATCATCAGCTCACAATCACTTTTAGAGCATTTCTTTTCTCTTGAAGAAAAGGAGGAAATTCAGAATAAAACAATAAAAAAGTCTTCTTAGGTCGCAAATTGTCTACTGACAGGCTTCTCTTCCCAAAATTTAGACGAGAGAAGTGGCCGGATAAAGGGGACTACTATGATTTCTAATTGAAGCCCTTAATGAAATGCTTTATCTCAGTTGACAAAATAACGGACGGACTTGGATCCCTCACTTGAGGGATCCCTCAAACTGACTGATTACTTCTGCAAATTATTGATGGATCTAAAGCTTTAAGGTACATGGGATTAACATACTGATCCCATGCATTGCGAGTTCTTTCGATGACTAACTTCACTGTTATTTAGTCGACTTCTTGTGGTCGATATACACGAGGACAAAACGTGGACGTAAGTGATAAGAAAACAAATCAAAAACAGGTAAAAAAGCGATGATTCTTTAATGTTATCCGGGGACAAATAAAGAAACGACCGCTTTCGCTAGACAAAAATTCTACATAGGAGTGTTAGCGATCATTCGAAAGTTTAAACCTCTCGCTAGTGCGCTACAAGCTCCTTTTTTCAAAAAGACCCTTTTTGACGCTATGGCGTTCGAAATCAAATTACATTTCACACCCGTCGCGCACCTTCATTTCTATCACGCGTATAATTCGCTGGAAGCATCAAAACGCATATGAACGCGTAGAGAAAATCTTGTACTAACAGAGTCATAAGTTCAATCTGGAGTCTCCTTCTAAGCGGAGAGGAAATCTCAAATTGAAAAGCAAAAATCGCACTCCAGATGCGTAACGCGCCAACACGACCGATCGATCGCCGTATCAGATTGACGCTTAGCACACATACTAACCGACAAACAGATGTGACGTGTATGTGAAACTCAGCCCTATTTTCCCTGCTACACTGCAGTGAAACGATATTTCAAGAAATAAGCACAACGTTAGAATCGTCGAAACTTACACTATCGAAAGGTTCCTCAAAGTTCCAAGGAACAATTATGTTCTGCTAGAAATATGCGCGGGTGAAACCCAAATGTTTTGTTTCGACTACGGAGTTGTAAAAAGGCTTCTTTAAAAACGACCACGTAGCGTAGTACCCAGAGATTCAAGCTTTCAAATGACTATTAACTCTCTTTATGAAAAGTTTTTAACCACCAAAAGAGGTTGTCCCTTCATTTGTCCCCGGATACAAAAAGAACGAAAACGGTTATTTCCAGCATCAATGAGTATCAAGGAGTAATATGCGATTGATTCCGATGGCTTAGTCGTCCACTAAGCAGAGCTGAAAAATAAGAACAATTTCTAGAGGGAGAAGTAAAATGACAAAATAAATAAACGAAATAAAGCGAAAGATTGTAAAAATCCTGAAACAGTAAAGTAATAGAATCATAGAATAAAATTATGAAGCAATAATGTTTAAAAAAACAGAAGCAATGAAAAAGCGAAAATCCGAAAGGTGCAGATCGAAAGGTGCCAATCGATAAAAGCAAAGAAACCTGGAAACTTGCTTACTGCGATCGAATATCACCACAGAACTGTTTGTGGGCGGCGGATTGGCGTAGACTAGCCCTTTCGGGACCGTGGACCCACCCCTGCATCTCTAACCACGGCGTGGGAGCGCAATGAATGTGTTACTGTATTATTTTAATCATATTACTGCTGTTATTTTCCTACTTGTAGCAAGATAATATATTTACATGTAGCATAACATCGGAAAATAACAACAAATACAAATGATACAAAAATAATACAAACCAAATAATACAATAACACATTCAATGCGTTTCCACGCTGGGGACGGGAGATACAGAGGAGGTGGGTTCACAGTTCCGAAAGGTCTAAAGCCCGACTCGTATTTTCCCGAAAAGGGTGAGGGGCTAAAAGAGAGTTTCATAATTTCAAAGGTGAATCCGTCCTTATAACCACAAGGACAGTGGTTACCGCGAAAACCCGTGTCAAAACGAATCCTGAGATCACCGAGGTCACGAGCAGGAAGATCTGCACTATGGCATGTTTCAATTTGAAAAAAATGAAAAAAAATGAAATACACAACAAACAAATGCAATTAAATCTATCCGTCAAATGCCAGTGAAAACACAGATTGTGGCACTGAGAGCAGTTTTAAGAAGCTAAAGTCCACGATAGTCGACTGGAACATGTTCTTGCCTGGCTCATCTCGTTCTCTTGAGCTTACGGAAGAGCTACCCAAAAGATAGATCGCGTGTCATGTTTCCCTGCAAAATGCGGTGATAGGACAAAACTGTCAATTATGCTCAATTTGATTAATGTCTGGTTGATTTGATCAATGTTTTATTGGAGGAAAGGTGGGAGGGGTAGTGACCGAGTCTGAGACAGCTATTGACAAGCCCTTAGTTCGACTCTCTCCATTTCAAAGAGCACCGTATGGAGCACATCATCTCGTGTTTTTCCGTGATTACACGCCTCAAGCAGCGCCTTCCATTTACGAAAGGAATAACTTAATATGGAGAATTCAGTGGTAAACACGCAGGAATCGTAATAACATCCCTTCGGATGCGTTTTCCTACTTTGATATACTTTTTAGACTTCAAAAAATTCCTTATGTACTCATTCGAGCGGTGCTACACTGAAGAAGATTCGATTCAAGTGGCAACACAGACTCAGATCCACATGACAAGAGGACTGCCGACAATCAAGCCTCGAATT